ATAATCTGAGAGCATTTCCGTTTGATAGTAAATAAATATATTTTACATTTTGGATTTGGGCGGGAAATTAAAGACATATTTGAGGGCGTCGGTACTTTAATATTCATCTCATATTGACTTTTTTTATTCTCAATGTGAAAACTTGTTGACTTCTTAAAATGTAAACACCTACAGAAAAATAATAAGCTGCAGCAAATCTCAAGACACAGAAGTGTTTTTTTTTTTTCCATATTTATTCAGTACCGGCGATTCTCATTTCCATAGATAATCCAGTACTGAATAAATTATAATGGTAATTAATTCAAAAGAATAGCATTTATTTAACAAGGGCTGCACTTACTTAATTGGCTTGGACATTTTAAGTGAAGCGTAATTTAACGCAGCTCCTCACTGACACCCTGTTCGTATTCACGGCCACATATGGACACGCTATAAACTACAGGGCAACACAGGATACGGTGGATCCCCTGGTAATTTTTCACTCCTTCAAGGTCAATGACATGTCAGCCTCAGAAATAATAGAGATTCACCTTGTCTTCCCATCCACTCCACAGGGGAGAGAGAGACTAATTTAAGCATTTGTCAATGCAAATATCCCAGACTCGTCATTTGGGACACTGACATTGGTTTACTCAGCTTACTGATTAAAATAACAAGCCACGGAGGACAAACAATAACAGTTTGGTGCGTGTGGGTTTTTGTGGGAGTGATTGTAAGAGTTATAGGAACTGAGATTAGCAGTTGTTTGTCCTTGTCTTTGCTGTCCTATATAACCATCCACAGGACATTCAAATGCAATAGTTTGTTAGGCAGAAGCAAAACAGGAAAAAAAAAAAAGAAAGAAAAATCAACTATCTCACAGCTTTCACTTTATCAGCCAATAGGATCTGCAGCTGTTTCCAGTGTAATGACACAGCAGAGGTTGGAGCTCCCATCTCCTTAGCCCACCTCATCAGAGCAGGAAATGGAGACAGAGAAAAGCCTTTATTTCCTCAGTCCTTATGACACACCGGTGGACAAAGGTGCAGGAGATGAGTGGGGGACGAGTGGGGGACAAGTGGGGGGGACACAGGAAGGGGGGTTGATGTTCAATCGTGGCCAAAATGATGGGTTACCTTGAAGAAAACCATTGGTAAACTATAAATCACTAATACTTTAAGTACACGGTACTGAGTTCTTTATACTCAGTACTGTATGTACTCGTATTCGTACACAGAGAGCACGAACAAAAGGGAAAAAAACAAAGATAGGAAACAATGTTATGTCTCAATAGATACCGAGGTCAAAATTATTGTTACTCCCATGAGCTGAGCTACGTATGCACACAAAACACAGATTATTGACAATTATCACAACAACAACTGTGATAATAACAAAGGTTTGAACAAAGCCGTCGCATTTAAAAAACTTAAGTCGGCAAAACACAATTCTATGAGGTTTAAAAGATTAAAAAATCTCTAGAGTGGAGACTGTTTCCAAAGTATATTTTTGTAATAATCCAAAACTGCAAAGTCCTCCGAAAAATTCACGTGCAACTATAATCTAGTGAAAAGAACTGTAATAACATTAGAACATGAGTCAGCAGCAAATCTGGGGCTGTTTCTGTTGTTCGCTCTTACAACAATAACCTGATGTATAATTCACACTGAAACTCAATGGAAATCCCAGCAATCTTACATACAGCGTTAAGGCTACACAAACAGGAAGGTCAATTATAACTGTAGCTAATGTGGCTAAAACTCCCTGCTCTGTAAAACTATAATAATGATCAAGACAGAAAAACATTTATGGGCTCAATTAACAAGACCACGTCTCAACAACTGAGACATGTCTTGCTTCGTGGCAAGAGAGCAAAGAGGAGCAAGTGTGTGTTCAGAGGGGGAAAGGCAGGGTAAAGGACCGAGGGTGGGGTCTGGTGGGCAAACAAAGGCAGCTGCTGAAGGGAGATGCAGGGATGAGGCTTCAGCATTCACCCAGGAGGGAGGCCATGAAAAGGGGTGGGANCCCACCGAGCACACGCACATGCACACATACAAACACTCTGGGGTAAACTAACAGCTAGCCATAAATCACTCTCACTAACTGCTGTCTCTGACTGAGAAGCTGCTACAGTGGCTCAACATCTTATCTGCTTTTTTTTTCTTTTTTTTTGCATGTTGCATCTTCTCATCCTCTGTCATTGACTGGTTGACATCACAATTTACAGCCATACCCCTGGGAAAAGTTCAATTCTTGCAAATGAGAAGCAGGGGTGTAGACGAGGGCATGTTCACAGCTGTGTCCGCCCTCACCTTTTTCACTCTCCACGATCCTCAGGCTTCATCTTTTTCATTAAAGTTTCATTCAGGAACCTGCTATTATAACACCACAGTGCAATTTACCACTATTACAGAAATTAGGTGGATTTTTTTCCCCCGCTGCAGCTAAGGGCTCTTAACATTGAAGCAGTTCATGAAGTCAAAGGGATTCCAGCTTCGCGGCGTGCAATAATACTTTCATTTATATGATATTGTTCTGTGCTATTTGTTCCATCGCTATGAAAAAGTGTGGTTATGCTAAGAACTGAGCTGACATTAAAAAATATCCTGTCACTTAACAGTTGTTAAGGCTCACACTAAATTATTATTATTATATTTTTAATATATATATATTCTGCTTTTAATGCATCTTTTCATAATACTGTAGTGCATAACAGCCTTGGAAATAGAAAACATCAAATATGCAGTTTTACTTTTTAATAAGCAGGAACTGCGTGAGCTGTAATCTGTGGTTGCTGCCGACACTGTGCTGAATGGATTTGTTTTAACTACTTCTCACCTCCACTAATGGCGTTTTGTGCATTACGTTCAGTTCCAGTATTGGGTTTAGTTGGCTTTGAGTTACTTTAACTGAGTAGAAGAGCAGGTGGAGAAGCAGACGTTTCTGTAGGTGCCACACAACGGGCTCAGCGTCTATGTGGTTTTAACAGAGCACAATCAGATAATCCCGTCCTTGATTTTATACGAAAATATCTCTGCATCAACTTTTACTTCCCTCTGATAACTTGGATGCAACAGCATATTTTAGTAGCTAAAGCCGCTGTAGGACACATGCAGGTATCGTATGTATTGCACAGAGAACAGAGCCTTAATCAGACTGGGATCCGGAGCCTAAACTTCTGCACTGTGAGCTAATTGCTACACCATTAGGTGAATGGACTTAGAGGGAAAAAGTTAATTATTCCCTCAAAAGCATCAACTCTCTCAAAATAATCCAGGACAAAGAGACAAAAGCAAGTCATTTTGGGTCTTTTGTGGTGTGTTGCCTGGTGACGCTGGCGTGCTTTAGGGGAGAAAGAGGAACAACAGCAGGATGCGACATGCCAGTGCTGTGACTCACCAAAACGATATAAAAAAAATCTTCCTGATTAGTTTAATAAAGTAACCCCCCCCCCCCAAAAAAAAAAAATAGGAAGAAAAACTGAGAGGTCAAAGAAAATCTGGACATCAAAAAGGTGAGTAACAATCAAGAGGGGGAAAAAAAAGGGGGTTTCCTCGACCAACTGCCGATTTTAAAGGGGCAATGGGGAGTCTGTCCTACATCAGCCCCCGACCGGGCGCTCACACAAACGGTTGTCAAGCAAGTAAAAAGTGAAATTTATGAACAGAGGTAGGCTGGAGGGTAAGATGAGGGCTTTATCCACTCAGAGGGCAATAAAGAGGCTTCAGTAATCACAGCGTCCTTTGGATCACAGTGGTACAAGTCCTAGCTTTGTGGTGAGAAGAAATGCGACACAGCAAATGACTTTAAAGGCACAAAAAACAAACAAACATGTGGAACAGATGGAGGAAGGAGCACAAGGCAGGGGTCTTTGTTTAGGACAGATGTCACTTGTTTTGAGCTGCTCTGTCCTCGTAAACAAACAAACAGAGTTTCCACACACCAGTAATCTAATAGGTGGAGACAGGAGCAGAAATACATGTTCTTCAATTTAGTATGAGCAAAAATAATCGAACATAAATCTTTTCAAACTGATCATGATCAATCACAATCGCTGGAATTCTACATACTTGTTTCCTGTGATATAAAAATAGGTTTTGCATATTTAAAAAGCTGCCAAATAGCAAAGCTTCCACCAGAGTCCGACTCATTTTCATCTCTCACGTTAGAGCCAAATTCTCCAGGAAACTCTCTCATCCATACAAACACTTCTGGCTTAATCCATGCAAGATGCAAGAGCCGTGCACTTCACCACCCGGCGACATCACCAAAAACACACAACCATAGTGAAGGTCCACGTGTTCACTATCAGTCTTTAATAAATACATGAAGTAAAAAGAAAACCCGTGGCTACAGAGACGAGCTTTATGAAGAAAACCACGGCCGCTGAGATGAAAGAAGTGAAGCGTCAAACCAGCGAGACATCAATTCTGAACTTTCTATCCCACTGTGTTGAAAAGCTGTAATAGTCACCACAGCACAGCAGTCTGCTGTCCACACATATGAGCTGAACAATCAACAGGCTTTTGAGGGTCTTTGTCCATTTGGGCTCTGAAGGATATGCTTCATAAAGTCATACCTCAGCACAGTGGGCAGCAGTGGGCAGCAGTGAGCATCAGTGAGCAGCACCACTGGGGTCACTGCTGCAACATCTTAGTGTGTCCACCCAGAGGTGTGAATGTGCAGTGTTGATCTGACTTTAAATATGAGATTCAACAACGATGTCAGTGAAGATTTGAGTGGGCTGCAATGTTGCTTCAAGCTTATTACACTCCTACACAGCAGCACAGACACTCAACACTTGTTTATGCTGAAGTCAAAGGCTTGGGTTTCTAATGTCGGCAGATGAGGATTGCTAAAGGAAATTGATATATGAGAATATTTAAACGGTTTCCTGGTCAGGAATATTAACTATAAATGACGTTTCAATCTCCCTTTTTTTATACAAAACTGTTCCAACATCACATTCTACTATGGATCAAGTACAACTACAGAGATGAAAAGTTTGAAAATCGACTTACTGGCAGCCTGAATTCGGGCCTTACGACTCACCACCAGCCCGAAAGAATTCTCGGCGATGCATTCATAGTCGCCCTCGTCGGATGAGCCATCAGGGTTGGTCTGCTGGAAGTGACCAATCAGGAGAGAGCCATTGATGAAGGTGGTGTGACGCTGGTCCCGAGGTAATAGAAAGCTGTTGTGCCTCCATTGTGTGGTGATCGGGGGGATGCCATCCACCTGACAGTGGAGCATCAGGGGTTGCTCCTGGACAGCGATGACATCACTGGGCTCCAGAGTGAAGGAGAGCGCTGCGTCACATAGAACACCTAAGGAATAAACACATGTGTTTATTGTTAAGTTCTGCTTTAAACATCTGTGAAATGGTCAGAGGTTGTCAAACGTTGACTTGACATCATCTGGGCATGTGTCTGGTTTCATCTTGTTTGAACTGCTCCAAACCAACGCTTATTCATTAGCTTGTGAGTTGACATGTGTTACAAATCATCCAGTTTCACAGCTATTCAAAAAACACCAGGAATTACCAGACCAAGCTAAGAGCTAGGAGCCATAGAGCAGGTCACCACAGAGGGAAGAATCCTCACTCACAGATCACTGTGACCTTGGTTGGTTGGTCCCTGACTAATGCTTCTGTGTCTGTCAATGCTGTTCACTAACCCAGGCATTTCAACAGAGATCAAACCAGACTGTGGATAATACAGCACCAAAACATCCAGAGTAGCACATTTCAGGTTTGTATGATCATATTGCATCAGTGGTCAGCTTATAAGGAGTATAAACAAATAAACAAAATATTTAAAAAAAAAAAGTATTTAACTGCCACAGGAAATATTTTAAAAAAAGTATTTAACTGCCACAGGAAATTATTTTTAAAAAAGTATTTAACTGCCACAGGAAACTGTTTTTTTTGAGAAGAAAATATATATTTTTTATATATGTCACATTTAGCCAGTGGTTTGTTTGTTTTGAGAAGAAAAAAAAATCATATATATGTCACATTTAGCCAGTGGTTTTCAATTTAATTTTCTGTTACAACCCCCTCCTCCCCAAACAAAAGCAGTTTTCAGGCCCCCTTCTGATCCACACCCCCACAAATTGAAATACTATTGAGAAAATAACATGTATATTTTTTATCTATACAAACTAATGTATGAGTTGCTGCCACCTAGTGACTGCAGGCTTGTTATCATTCAAGCATTACAGCATGTGTACACTGTGTAATATCCACCATGCCATATTCCATTGGAAACCCCTCAAATACCCCCCCAGGGGGGGGTTCACCCCACTATTTGAGAAATACTACATTTAGCCATTGACATTGCAGGAAGAACACAGGACCAACACAGTACTAGCATAACTCTTGTAGTTTATTCAAAGTGCAAAAACACTCACAGGAATAAAGCATCGACTACAGGCACACTCTTCTCCAACATCATGGACTTTCTTAAAACTCACAGACCTCTCCAAACTCAGGGACACACCCAACCCACTAACAGTAACAAACAATCAATGCTCCCCCACAAAGACCGAGTGAGGGAGAGAGGTATATATACCCAGGGCACCAGGTGACACCAGTGAGACTAATGACAGAGACACAGGTGAGTGTGATCTCACTGATTAGCCCACACAGCAGACAGCAGGAACAGGGAACAGACTGACCTGACTGTGTAAAAGCTGAACCTCTGACTGTGTTTGGAGTTGTTTATGTCACATGTTATTGTTCAGACTTGACCATTTTATTATAGATAAAAAGGTTATGGCTAAAAGCTACTGAATACTTAAATTGAAAAAATCTATACTAACATAAAATGCTAACATTAAGTACATTTTCTACTCTATTCTATCTACTTTATTTTATTTTTTGAGTGTCCAGAACAAAAACACAGCAGTAATGGCTTTCACATGAATCCTGAGACCTTTGACAATTTGAAGGAGCTGCTCCTTATGTCACATCCCCGAGGCAACGAACTGAGGCCCACAAATCAGGAACCAAAAGTGTAAACTGAGCTCCCCTCAGGCAGCAGTCAAAGCAGAATTTATAGGCTTCAGAACATCCCTGAACATCTTTTATTTAAAACCACTGTAGCACCAATTTCCCCACCTTACTCACTCACTTATTTAAGCACCAACAGAGAGCTACGTCAAAGCTCCGGATCTTTTTTTTTCTCTTCACAGTGATGCCATCCATTTGATTAGAGTAGCAGGAGATTTGATTTTCACTGTCTGTGGCTTCAGGAGGGGAAGAGGGAGAACAATAAATAAAGGATGTAAACAGTCTGACCTGACTTGGTTTTATAAAAGAGGAGCTTAGCGGGTTCTCTGGGTATCGTGTTTCAGCTGTTGATGGACTAAGCACTACCAGTCTCTGCCCCGGGCCCTGGAATCTGGTGGGAGGGGGACTATAGGGGAGGGCAGTGAGGGGTACAAAGCGCAGAGGTCAAAATTAAGAACCTTTGGCTACGTCCCTCAAATTCCAACCCAAAAACACTTCCTCCTGAGGTGCAGACAAGGAATTTACTGACACACTCCTGGGCATGCAGATCACACATGGAGTGTAATGCAATGAAACATTTTCTCTTCCTCCCGTGTTGCTCCGCATCCCTTCTTTTTATGCCCCCTCCCTCCCTCCCCCTCCCCCCCCCCCTTTTTTTTTTTTTTTTTTTCACTCAGCGAGCACAGTAAGTAAAATAGCCATGGGACCAAAGAGACATCAGTGCTACCACTTGTAAAAAACAGGGGGGTGGCAGTGGAGAAATCGTTAACCCTTAGTGGGCAGCCAGTGATTCTGCAGCCGGAGTTGCTAGTGCTGACCAGCGTGATAGTGGCCACAGCCCCTGGTTTTCTTTACACCCTGCACAGGAGCATGTTTTCACACATGGAAGCAGCCAGTGGAGGGGAAAAAAAAACATACAAAGAGCTCACAGCTCCACAACCAGACATCATGCCTGGCAACATGTTTTGATTAACACATGGATAATTCCCCCGTCATGAAGCCACCCTTACTGTGTAAAGAGCTGGTGAACAAACAGGAGGATGTGAAGCACATAAAAGGTGTTTTATATTCAACGCCAGTCGTTGTAGAGTCGCTGCAATATATTACAGGGCTGTTATTTTCAAGTAGTAATAAGATCCCTGAAGTAAAAAAAAAAGGGTGTGAGTTCATTGTTAAACGTCAATTATTAAGACGAATTGTTTACATCCTCGTGATAAAACTGTTTCTTTTATTTAGCCATAGATTGTTCCTTCCATAGGAACAAAGCACGTGGACGGGCTGTATAATTCAATTTTTAGCTCCAGGTGGGTGGAAGGTTACAAACAAGAAAGGTCAGCCCTGAATCATAACAGAGAGAACAGGATGAGAATAATGGTAGAAAGTTGATTGATTTTACAGTTTGTGTGCATGTGGTTAAGGTCATTTGTAAATACTAAGCATACAGAAGGTGAAGGGAGAGGATGGCACAGCTGTAGGATCTGCTGGAACACACACTATGCCTGTCCAAAGAAACACACGCTCCTGAATACATACAAACGTGGATTTTCATGGTTGGGTAGGAAGACAGATAGATATTTTCATCCTAATGCTTTTTCACACTCAGAACAGAGACACTGGTCTGTGGGATTAGAGAGGAAGAGCGGAGACAAGTGTCGCCAAGTGTGGCTCACGCTCTGGCTTACTATTGTCAGATAAGGTTAGCTGGTACAAAGGTTTACTGATGTTATGGGGAAGAGAAAACACACACGCACGCACGCACACACAGACAGAGCGAGTGCTTACAGTGAGCTGCAAATACATGCATCACAGGTTTCTTTACAGGGAGCACTGTGACGATATGTTATCTGTTAGTTACAGTATGGTCACCTTCAAAATGAATGCTTTTTTTTTGCTTGTAGCAGAAAAACACAGAGCTTTGAAAAAACAGTTTTACAGCCACACAAGGATTCTCTCCAGGGATGCACGCTTGGGTCCCACCTGATTCACACGGATGTGTGCAGCCTTACGCTGCCTCACTGATTACACTACAACAGTCCTCATTTACCTGAGGAGAAATACGGTAGAGAATCAAGGGAAGTCAGATTTAACTTTAGCAGCCATCACAACGATGGCTTTTTTTTCACCATAAAACCCTGTGATTTTATTGCACTGTTTGTACTCATCATATTAACAATGTTTATTTTTAGAGAATAGCCCTTTTATTTGGTTCTAATCTCTGAGGCAAACAAGTTCTGGGAGAGCCTAATTTCTTTGATGTATTTGAAATCGGGGATGAAGAGCGGCCGTCTCTGAAGGGTTTGTCCTGAACAGTTTAACTGGAAATGTTATGAACCTCTGTGTACCAGCCTTGATGAACCCAGTAGGGGCCTTTCAGGGCCCCTGTGTGGTATGTCTTGCAAATACTCAACACTTTCTCCTGCTTTTCAGTCAAGAGGTGGCCTCACATGGAGAGGGAGAGAGAGAGAGAGAGAGAGAGAGAGAGAGAAACTGTCTATCATAGCAAACAATGGGACAAAAAGAAGGGTTTGAAAGGGAGGAGGTACAGTCTTGACATTTAATCTGTAGAAATAGTCACCTCAGCAGACAATAACCATACAGCCACGTATATCAACCTGCCAAAATGTGGCACGCCAGGAGTGCAGAGCTGTCAAAAGCTCCATCACTTTTACAGGTACCTCAAACACTGCCTGGGATCAGTGGCACACCCACAGAATCTTTATAACTCAGCCTCTGTCATGTGGACGCCCTTTGTGTCATCTCAGCTGTGTTTTCATGCAGTTTTGGGAGTAAAAACGTACTGCAACCAACCCTAAGTTGGTTCGGTTGCTGTAAATGTGTCGTTACAGGAACACCTGATGAGGAAGGGACCAATAAGAAGAGGGAAAAATGGAAAACACGCACACACGCCAAGTGTTTTACGCTCAACTTGTATCTTTTTTTTTAAGTGACTTTCTCCATCATCCTCCTGGAGACTTTTTATTGGAGCATTTTAACCACACACTTCCTGATCGCTCTCCCTTGAAAATCACTATTACAGCAACTCCGTTTACTACATCACACGAGGCAGTAGCTGCAGCCTGGAAGACGTGCAGTAGCCCTGGGAGCATGATGCGCAGGCGGACATACACAAACACTGAGTCCGCAAGAAAACTTTGAACGTGCAAACAGCCTAAGGACGGGCGTCCTCGTACAGTCCACACATGTTTTGGATGGACACACAGAGCCTTGGCAGTGCACGCTCTGCAGAGTGAGCAGAGAATGGTCAAGTTCAGGGTTAGGGTCTTTGATGCTCCTGCCGCCGCTGTGCAACATGCAGCAGGCTCCGGAGAACAGCAGAGTGACACGAAGGTCTTCACAAATCTCTTCATACTAGAAAACCACGACACTATGATCAAGTACTTACCAATCAAAGAATTCAGGAATATTCCCAACAAGCCCAGAACAATGCGGCGGCTCCGGGTGGATGCCATTTAAACACTTGCACTAGTCCAGCACGTGCAGACAACAAAGTGAGGTTAACGGACAGGAGATGGAACGAAGAGGAGACACAAATAAACACCCGCGGAGGAAAAGACCAATATTCAGCTCCAGACTCTACATGTTCCGACCTACAGTGGTTCACTGTGGTGGCTCACTGGGGTCGAACGAGCTCTCGCCATTTTAACCATCTATCACAAATCTGTCAGCATCCAGCTCTGTGCATGTGTGTGGAGGTGTGTGTGTGTGTGTGTCCTCCTCATTCATTCACACAGCTCTCTCTCTCTCTCTCTCCCCCTCTCTCTCCCTCTCCCTCACGCAAACAAAAGAGCCAACCTTTAAGAAACCTGACAAGATCACACCCAACACCAGGAATACTTATATTCTCTACAAAATAACAACACTATAACTTAGTATTAGTATAACAGTGACAACATTATTAAAGGCAAAAATAAGAATATATTTTGTATATAGCCTATACATAAATTCAAATATTCGATTTGAACGGAATCGTTGTGTCATTGTTGTATATAATTCAGTTCTACTGATAATATTTCTGACGTCTGAGATGAATCGATGAACAATCAACACTTTTGTCTTTTCTGGAAAATAATTAGTTTTAAACATAGGTGTCATAGGTCTGTAACTGGCTAAACGTGTGTAAACAAACAAATGTCAAATTACAACACGTCGATAAAATCCACAATCTGAACCATTTTATTTTATTATTTCTTTGTTTGTGCGCTACGATAAAAACAACAACACACACGGAGTATGAACTGTGGGCCGTTGAATACGGGCCATTATATGATGCGAATTTGATTCTTTTGAAGCTCAATGGTTCAGTCAGTGAACCTGTTATAATAATAAACAAGAGAATCTATGAAAGGCGCACAAAGGAAGCGGTGTTTAGCTGTACTCGAGCTCCCCCTAGTGTCTATACCTTGTAAACCTTGTAAAAGGAAAACTACCCTTTTTTTAGAATGAAAGACTACCTAGAATTATTACATAACTGTCAACTCAGAACAATGAAAAACTACTGATTTAGATGCTCAAAATGTTAGAATAGAATAGAACGCTTTTAATTGTGATGTGTTGTAGGCACAACAAGATTACAAGTGTTACTTCAAGGAACTTGTCCTAATTTAAATAAGAATATTTATGTAAAAGAAAATAAAAAACCCATAATACACAGTATGAAACCCACAATAAAAATACTCCTCTTATGTTCAATAAATGATCACATATTCTTATGGAAGAACATTTACTTGACTGAGTCAGTAGCAGGACTCTAACCTGTCACCAGCCATTTCAATAATGGGCTTTAATGATATTGTACAGTACTAGAAAATGCTCTCTTCTTCTCGTGTCATGCTGTTTTAACTGGCCCTGAGAGCGGTTGTAGCAACATATTTTTTGACAAAATAGTTATTTGTGATGGGTTGATAATTACATGTGAATGTAAAATCTTTTTTTTTCTAATGAACACTAAACTAGTCTAGTTTGACTCTCTTGATCAGTCTTTTTTATGCCATTCCTTACAGCTGCAATAAATGCAACAAATGGTAATACTATTGTGCTGCAATTAAATCTCTTAATTTGTAAAGTCACGGTTGACATGATCTATTTATAGAAATGTTAGGTTTAATATAGAAATATAGCAACAAAGATTTACATAGGAGGGTTTGTTTCCAAGTCCTTATTGTTCAGGAAACAGCCTCAACTAAGTCATTAAAAGCTTTAAAATCAGCTGAAAAAGACTCGTCTAGGCTAGTGAATAACAATTATGGCCATCATTAGTATGTGTTTAATGCGCTGAGTGAGACACTTTAATCCAGAAAGGGCAGCTTCTCCATTAAGCTCAGCTATTTCAGAAGGTTTCATTGAAATCATACCAATCGCATATTTCACACTACTATACTGCATGTGGCCACAGGGAGTCACCATTTCCCCTTTCTTTGTTTTAAAAGTCATGTGTGTTTCCTACCTTCTAACATGATTAGCCACTAATCCATTATCAACTGCTCATTCCTTTACTGGGAGAAGGGTTGGGACGGCTGGAGTCAGAGCTGTCGACAGTCGAGGGTGCGACTGTTTTACAGTACACTGATACAAGGGATTAGCCCTGTCCTATCATTCTCCCTTTCTCCTCTTTTTTGTATCTTTTTGGCCGACAGTATTGTACAAAAAAAAAAAAAAAAGCTGCCACTCCCCTTTAAGTGCGACTGCCCTCCTCTTGTAGCAGTAGGGATCCCAGCAGGGCACAGTTTCTCACTCAGTCAGAATGAAAAAATGTGATCCTTCTCTAATCTAACGATCCGGTTCGGACAGGAGTGTTTCCGGTTTTAGATTGGCCCGTGTGTGATCGTTTTTACGGAGTCACACCAGCGGGTACGGAGCAGCATCTCTTCTGCCATCTCCTCCCCCTCTCTCTTCTCCTTCTGTTTCTCTTCTCCGCAGCAACATCAACACCTCCTGAGAAGGTGAGGCGGCCTTTCATCCTCACACCGCCGATATGAGGCGAATAACGGGGAAGGATCAGGATGAAACTTTGATCGAGCTGCAGAGCGCGATGGACTCACAGACTGGAGGTAATGTAATACAACCGACACCTTCATTAACATTTAACGGGAGCCGAAGGTAATACGGTCTTTGATTAAAAAAAAAAAAAGTTTTTTTGTTTTTTTTTACGATTGCTTCTTTTGATAAATAGTTTGTGGTGTTCACATCTTCCACCGTATATTTGTAATAATTTAAGTTAAAAAGACAGCAGTCCATTTAGAATGAGATCATCACAGTAAAATACTGTACTGTATACTGTTGTCATAGTGTGCCCATTAGGGAATTTAACCGTCAGCCTACTAGAGTGTTTACAAACGTTTACAACCAATCATTAGTCCCAAAAATCATGTTATCAAATACAATGATTACCCAGGTTCACTTTACTCAGTATTTACTGATGTGGTATTAAACCCTTGCCTGTTTAGTTAAACACTATTCTAACATACTCGCCGGAATTGAAGAAAACCACATGATAATATATATATATATACATATATATATATATATTATGTTTTTATAACCATAACTTTATAACCAAATCTGCATGAATGAATGCAGTCTCTTTGTCGCATTGATGAATGCAGACAATCTGCATGAATGAATGCAGTCTCTTTGTTTATGTCGTGCCTAATGGCCAGGGCTGGACGTCTGAACAGAAGACAAGAGAAAAAGTATTTAATGCGTCACCATCATGATTTAGTCAAACCCTGTTATGTGTTTGTTTACTGGTGCTAATTAACTAAAGGGTTTGAAGGGGGATGTGGGTTTTGAGGATGTTTAGTCTGTGATGGTCGGGTCATGGGTGAGGTCAGACATACTACAGGAAGTTATTAGAATTTAGGTTATTTGACACGATTGGGTGTCAAACGCTATCAGTAACATTTGTTATCTGTAACAACATAATTAGGCTAAGAATTAAGCTCGGACACAGTAAAATGAACACAGAGAAGCTGTACATGTCACAGGGCTTATTTATCTTATAATGATTGTCCTTGTTTAAACTTTTTTCACTTTGAGTTTCATTTCTGATGAATCATGTATATTTAGTCTGCGCTTTTGCAAAAGAGATGGAGGCTTGAAAAGTGAACAACTTTTCTGTAGATGGAGTTTGTACGAAGAGTTAGTGAGGTACGCTGTGATTGGATAAGATAAGGCCCTGTGTAATTTCAGCTGACTCAAGAATGTATGACTAAAGAGATAATATGTTCAGGAATTTGATACTTGATAGTGTGTTTTGGTAATATTATCAATCCTATATCTACAGGAGAAAGCACAGTTTTGTATTTTTAGTATAATATCTAAAACTACATTTTGAGTGCTCAGCTGACGTGGTAGTGGTGTTTGTAAATGCTGTCTACAGTAATTTGGCACTAACACTATTTTCTTTCTTGAGATATTTCCAAGTCACTCCTTATTTCAATTTGGTCTCCCCCAAACATGAGGGTCAACACAGCCTTTTAGTTAAGTCGTAGTTCAATCTTTGTCCTTTACAATTGCAACAAAGGGAAATAAATGTTTCTCTGCTGAATTCAGATACCTTAATCAGAGAAACAACAATAACAGTAAAATGATGATAATCATGCATAGGACAACCATTTCCTCAGCCACTTTCATCGACTCTTAACTCAACAGCAATCCATTTGCCCTGTGTGTCTTAAGACAGTGGGTTTGAACACTCTGTCAATATGCTTGTAGATATAATGGAACCAAATTCATTTGACATCATTTGTTGTTGTTGTTCTCCTAAACCGTATTCTACAGTGACACCAGACAATTACTTAAAAGTAACAGTTTCCATTTCCACTTTGTCCCACTAATGGAGGGCCGTGGTCTTTCACAGTAAGTCCTGCATCATCCGTTGGTGAGCATGACATTAATGACCTGCTATTACTCAGCAAAATACAGAACCTGCCTAAGATGCCTGCTCTGTATATTGTGTGCCACAAAATGTGTGTTTGTGGACAGAGTAACACAGTTAAAATCTGTTGAATCTAGTTAAGTTTATATATATATATAATTGATGTTGTTTATCTACATGTAGAATGAAATATGAAATTATTTTTCATATGGACAGGATTTGACAGGGGAGTGTTTTCCACTTTTATGCTAACATAGCTGACAGCATGTAACAGGTAGAAAGCATAGATGAATATTCGCCGAGTAAATTGATGTCACTGACTGTGAAAAGACAAATTCAATGAACAGCATTTTTCTCACTCTGATGCTTAGCATATGGTCCCAAGTGTCTAACAACACAGTGATGGATGAATGGTGTTCATTAGGTCTTTAGTCAGCCCTGTTTTACCACCCTGCACTTATCAGCTACACACAGCAGTGCTGAATAAAAAACATCCTCCGGGGTCAGAATAAAGCCTATTTGTTTCCCCGCACTCTTCTTACAGGAGCATGTATTGAGTCATCAGCACACTGAAATCACAGACCTCTTCACTTTATAATCCAGCATGTGTCATTATTATTGTCTTTACGATTAGGTGTTAGCAAAGACAAATGTTTACCTCAACGTCAGCTGTGGGTTTACAGACTCACTTTATTAAAAAGGGAGACTGTAACGGCTGTGTCCAGGCTCTTATCAGGACAGGCCTGCTGACACACACCACAGAGGAAACACAGAGAGACAGGAGAGGAAGGTGTCTGTCTTCACCTTCAGTCTGGGTGGAGTCACTGCAGGTGGATAAACATCACTTTGGCCTGAGCCGTAGATGTTCTACCTGTGATCTACCTATATATAGAACAGCAGTTTTTGAAACAAACTTGGAAACAGAGCAAAATACATTTGCAGAGAAGTGTTAGTTTTAAGGACACCAAACTCAACATAGAACGATCAACTACCTAGATCTTCTCGCCGTAGAAACAAGAGCTTTACCAACATTTTCCACTCTGTGGCCGGCTGTAATAGCATTATTTCTAATATAGTGGTTCATAAAATATGAAGTGTTAATGGCAGCAACGGACAGATCTATTGTACTAGCATCACTCACAGCAGCCCAGACTGAACCACAACCTTTTCAGAAACAGTTGGATTTGTAGTTTTGTGGCAATGAAAACTGTAAGAACAAAACTTTCGTTTCAGAGTCCTGGCTGCAAACTCATTAATTATTCAAAGAATATCTTTTAGGCTCATTTTTTCTTTGCTGTCTGCTACTTGCAGAGAAATAAATTATGTTCCAGTCAGAGGTGAAACAGAGCCAAAGAGTTGCTATGGAAACAGTAATGTCATTATCCCAATGATCCTGCAGGATACAAAATGAAATGTGGAAAGATACTCAGTTTCCCTTCTAGGAAACAAGACAACCGCTACAGTGCAAATGGTTTTGTTGTTATTTCTTTGTAAATACAGACCTTTTAGTTTTCTTTAATTTTTTTTAAGAAAACAATTTAAGGGTTAAGCAACAACCGAGCTCTCTGCACAATGTTATATGTGTGTGTCACTGGGGTATTTTAACACCCAACATTTCCTGGGATTGTCGAGAAATCTCCCCTCAGTGACACTGCCACGGCATCATGATGTCACAGGAAATTAGGGCTGTAATCAACCAAAAAAAGTCAAGGTAGGGTGAAGCCGGGAGATTTGGACTGAAAGTCGACTGATCGAGGGTTGCTGTGGGTGGGGGTACTAGTGCGCAGTGCTTGTCCGGCTCCACTAATTAGAAATAAACATAAAGAGCAGTAGTTTATTTGCATTTTATCAGATCAGTTTTAATTTTAATTATTTTGCTTTGAAATTAATTACACTTGAGTCTGTCTACTGTGTAATATTTACGAAAATATATAAAAAATGTCAACTAGTGATGTCGGCACAAGAACTGTTGAAGAATATTTGGATAATTGTTTTTGTCATGTTATAATAATTGACAGAAAACATCACTTCGCTCTGTCCTCGCACAGAGCACGATTGAACACAGGTGCTCAGCTTCACGGCCGAGACACGATCTGTATTAACTATTAACTTATTGACTACTACTAACCTTTACTCTTCAAGTCCTCCAGGTCCTTTCTAACACTTCTAGTTCTTCAATGTGTCTATCTTTGGGTTAGGCTAAGCCAAAATAGGGAAAACAATGGGGTTATTCTGTAGGGAACACACACACACATATATATATATTTATATATATATACAACAATAAGTGACATTTTTACATAATACAGTATTAATATAAGTTTATTTGATAAACACTGTATAAAACGTTCCAGTAAACATTAGCCAGTGGAGGCTTTCAGTCCATTATGATGCATTTTGTTTTAATTTCTTAGTAAAAGTGCCACATGTTTTCTAACTCAAGAGCTTCAAATGCCCTTTGAATACATATCTCAGTCATCACGTCTACCCAGTTGAGTCTACAGGAAGCTTGTTGCCAGAAGATACTGCTGGTTGTCTTGTCACACGGGCCTTAACTCAGTGAGAGCTCAGGATGCTGTGGTTTCAGTCACATTTGCAGGACGTTCTTGACATTGCCTATCTTAGTGCAGCAAGTTGTGTTACTTGAATTGCGTATTTGTTGTGTTACGTGAATGTTCTTGAGGTTTTTAGCTGTGATGTAACCTGAATAGTCCTGTTGTTTGGATTCAATATTCTCTGAGTCCAAAGTGAATGTTTCTGCTGTTGTTTTGGCACGGTGTTTCAGCAGACACCTGACTAGAAGTTATCTTTGAAGTTGTAGTTTCACCGGAAAAAGCGACAGCTTTGTTCAGGCAACCGTAGAAACTTTCCACAACTAGCGATGCATCAATAGTAATTTGTTGGCTGACACTGATTACAGTGTCACTGTGCACACAACCATCTGACAAATAACAACTTGTACCATAGGTGTACAGTGGTTATGGTGGTTAAGCATGAACATCAAACTAATGTTTTTCAAAAGCACAGTTGTAAAACCATTTGCTGCTTTAGGGTTTTTAAAGCATAGTTGTAAAACCATTTGCTGCCAAATCTTCAAAAGCATAGTTGTAAAACCATTTGCTGCTTTAGGGTTAGCTCACAGCAGGTTGCTAACGTAGCATGACATAACCTGTTACAGTTGGTGGCACTGTCTGCCTCTCTCTGAATTTGGTATGCTCAGCTACACAGTGGTGTTTTGACTGTTGGATTCTGTTTCGCAATCTGAGCGACATCGTGGTGGCTCGTCTAGAGTTAACCTCACTGCTTCATGTATTGCCAATAGCTAGTTTGGTACTTTCTTGGCTGCAGAGTAATTCAAAGTTAAAGACATGTTAGCTTTAGCTTGTGAGCGGGAACTTCTTCTCCAGTTCTCCGACACAGGATGCATGTGGAAAATGGTTGCAAAATGGTAAAAACTTGTGCTATACATATCTCTATACATAGCATGTAACGTTTGTTAAGTTATTTATGTGCGTAGTACATAGTACTCTACTGTACTGTATTGTAGTACTAGTAGGATAGTACATAGTACTGTACTGTATTGTAGTACTAGTAGGCCTGTTAACAAGTAGCACAGTTTCAGTGCATGTGTACTTCTTGATTGTCTAACATTTTCTTCTAACCTGCTCCATCTGTCTGTCCATTAAAGACAGTCTTGCGGTGTTGACTGCATTCGGGATAAACCTTTACTCAGGTACGGGCAGAGCCGAGGCTGAGTGTGTACCGTCCTCTGCTTTGTTTCTCCGTCTCTTCTTATCAGCCGTTTGCTCCATCGATGGCTGTAATTTGTCTATGCTTTCCGGTCAGTCTGCTAATCGCTTCAGATCAGTCTGTGTGTCTGTTGCTCTGTCAGTCTCCAGCTCAGCCTTTCAATGTCACAAAACCAGGCTCCTGGACCGTAGGAACTATCTTTAATACTTAAAGATACAGTATGCACTGTGTATTTTAGTATTTTTTTCCAGGTCAATACAAATGCTAAAGGTTTCAGGATTTGCTGGCATTGATTTATTATTTTTGCCAACATGTATAACAACCTATCATTCAAATTCTCCACTCAAATTATTTAAGAATTAAAGGGGGATAATCCAAATATTTACCCTTCTGAGATTTTTCCTTGCTTTTCTTCATGCTTTAACAGCATTTAAATTAGAAAATGCAAACAGAGGGGAGCATCTCTGCTAATGAACACAGCACCTCCTACTATTTGTTACAAACTATAGATGAGTGTGGGGATGAATTTGATTTACTTTTTGAGTGCATCTGCATACTTTATCTTTAATATTAAAGCTCCAATCATCATTTCATATTTTCTTACACTTTGTAATGTCCGTCAAACTCATTAACCGTACAGCTGTTGTGCAGTTGTCGGTGAAATGTTGATTTTCTTTTTTTTAAGGAAATGTAGCTAAAAATGCTATAGGGCATTAGATTAGAATGACTTTCAATTCAGAAATAGAATTACATGTGGAATGAAAACAAACTTTATTGAAAGTCATTTCACTCCTGCTGGCCGTCATGTGTGTAAAGCATCACACACACACACACACACACCTGTATGTTTCATGGTCATGTTCTGTTGATACATGAACATTTAAAAACAGCTATTTTGCTTGGGTGTAGGTGTGCTGGTGTTGTTTGTTGGATTCTCACCGATCACCTCATGTCCTTTTCAACAAAAAAACTGAAACAATAAACCCTTGTGTCAGTCTTCACACCACGTGGTACGGCTGCCACCTTCCTGATCACGTTTCTGAATCTTAAACCGCCCGTCTTGTTCCAAGGATAGATAAACAGAGAAGGTTTTGTCAGAAAGTGCCCTCAGTGCATAAATTGGTGCCCGATCAAACATCAGTGCAAGTGCTGAAGAAGCTACCAGATTAAAGTGGTTCTGGTTTTTGGACCCTAACTACACACTGGTTCATAACAATGCTGATGGAAGCTGCAATATCAAAATATTTATTTATTTCATCCTTGACCATATTTATATTTTTGCACAATGTTTGGTCACACAAAAAATCACCAATTTCTCTCTAAATACACTTAATTTTTTTTTTCCCCACAAAAAAGTAGGGGAATTTTACACTTGATATATTAAATAATGTACATAGTTTAGGATGGTGTTTAGCTTCAACCAATAAGAAATTAATTAAACTAATTTTCTCTGACCTATATCATGTCCAACTAATACATTTACAAGATGAGAACCCCTGTAGTCATCGGATTTCTATGACATCTTTTATTGGAGGCCATGGAGTGCTGTATTGTTGCGGGGTGGTTTTATAGAACCACCATTTTGAGCTGCAGTGACTGAGGTTTTCTTTCGATGCAGACCAGCAGATGGTGGAATTCTGTTAAACGCAGTGACATAGCATCTTTTCTTCCTTCCCTTCAGACCCACTCATTCTAGAAATCCATTTATTGACCCGGAGAGGCTGCCCGTTGTGATATACTACAGAGATCTTTTAGTACGTGGGGGCAAGGAGGATATTGCAGCTTTTAATTACTCCTCACTGACCCCTCGTGCAGAGACCGACTTACATGAAGCTCACGCCTTACAGCTATTCCATTTGTTTATGAACTGAGAGACAGCAAAATGGAAACAAAACCATCATTTGCCGGCCTGCAGGCCTAATCTGACTCACCAAGCTGTCCGATCCAGCTTGCAAGTGGAATCCAAAATTGTGAAGATTAAAGAGAAAATATTGAGTGGTCCCTACTATTAAAGGAACTAAAACCTAAATAACTATCAGTTACCATTTATCACTTCCTCAGGGAAACAAACCCAGGACTCTCTGCTTTTGCTTGCAAGGCAGAGTTATTAACCACTACAATATGGAACTATTTACATCTCATGTAACAAAATCTTTTTTTTTTTTTCATCCGGCCTGAAAGTTGACAACGGTCACTATGACTTGGTCAGTCTCTTTTGCTGTTCCTGGTCGATCATACTAGGCCACCATGTGCTAATTTTGGCAAAAGTCATTACCCAAAATGTATTTCTTCTATATAAATTTATTGTGTATATATATATATATATATTAGCAAAAGTCATTACCCAAAATGTAGCCAAATTAGCCAAATTATTCCATAGTTTCAAGTCCACATCATCCCAGTGCTTTGTCTCTGTCTCTGTCTCTGTCTCTATTATGAACATACTGTGTTTCCGACCTCTGGTTTGGTTTATTTGTTTCTCAGTGGTATGATACACACCACTTGTATGTGTGCTGACCTTTTGCCTCTATTTGCTCAAACCAGGATCTGGTCGCTGACTGTGCACAGTTAGAGCAGTGGCAGATCAGAGAGACAGAAAACCAAAAAAAAAAAAAAAAAGTTGGGAAATGGCTGCCAAGAAAAAAACAAACAAACTCAGCTGCTCTTTCACAGATACTTCCCATGAGTCCAGTGTAGAAAGTCCCACTGTCATAAGGCTCAGGAATTCCCATGGCTTCAATGACATGCCATATTCACTCTGCATACCTTCATAGTGATCCATATTGTATCACCATGGACACTGCCCTCCTGTCATTGGCTCACGGTGACGTCTGTCAGATCAGTGTCTAATCAGAGGAGTGGGTTCGGTCTGCAGCAGAGGGTGGCTGCAGATCTTTGTCTCCTTTGTTCACTATGGATTTTTTTTTTCTTTCTCGGGGGAGGATGGACTTCTGTTACAGCAGCTATCCAGATCCCATGGTGCACTGGGCCCAGTCCCTCAGTCCTCTCTCCTCCCCTGTTAAGTCTTCATGCACGTTCAAGCCTCCCCCCACACAGGAAGTGCAGCTTTCCCACAATCCGTTATTACAAGGGGAGCAGGCCACGAGCAGAGCACATGAGCACATTCTGTTTAGTCAGAGAGAGTGGGAGAGAGAGAGAGAGAGAGAGCTAGCCCTGGAATGCTGTCGCTCATTATACTGCAGATGAAATGATGGGGTCTGAGTGAATATAATGTGTGCGTGTGTGTGTGTGTGTGTGTGCCGCTTCTATAGGTCTGTTCAATCAACTACAAATTACATTCAAACAACAGTCGGCCTTGTCTACACAAAACACACACATACTAAAAAACGAACTCTTTCTCACTCCTGTAAATGTGACTATTTATTTCTTTTTTAGATGAAACCACAGGGAATGGCATCAGTTTTTCCTCAGAGAGAGGGGAACTGCCTGGACGTACAGAAGTAAGTTGACGTTAGTCGTCTGCTAACAGCTAACACAGGAGTGGACAAACTTTTTGGCACACATTTGTTCTAAAATTGAACGGGGGGGGGGGGGGG